CTTTCACACAACAAGCTACGAGAAGAGTCAGCCCAATCCAAGGACCACCAATACCAAAGTATTTACACCCGAAGTAGTTACGCCCGGCGAGGAGCAGGAGGACTATTATGGCACAGTTGAAGAAATATACGAGCTCGAATTCCATGGTGAAAAAGCACCTAAGCCAGTCATATTCAAATGCCAGTGGTTTGATCCTGTAGTATCGAAAAAGTCCCCTAAATTTGGGATAGTCAAAACTAGACAGGATTCCTTTTATCCAGGAGATGATGTCTATATTGTGGCTCAACAAGCCAGGCAAGTTTATTATTGTCCATATGCTTGCAAAACCGACCCACGTCTTCAGGGTTGGTATATTATGCACAAGGTATCACCACATGGTAAATGTCCTCCCCCAAACGATGATGATCACAACTTGAACCCACCCACGCATGACGGGGAGTTCTATCAACAAGACGAGGGGCTACCAGGGATGCTTGAGATAGACTTAACCGGAGAGATTGAAATAGAAGTAGACGAGGAATGGGTTGTTGATGAGGAAGCTGCAGATGAGGTGCATGATCCGAGAGACTTGAAAATGCTTGACGGACTTGTACTTGACAATGATAGCGATGAGGATGAGGCTGTTGACGATTTGGAGGCTCTTAATAGTGATGACGATACCTATCGTCCAGATAATCCCGATCATGAAGAATATTAGAAATACATGTAATAATATGTTATTTTGTAATTACATTTTCTTTATTTTGCATCCCTTGCTAAGTACTTCTCATTTATCTGTACTAATATTGGTTTATTCTTTTTAATTGCAGGTGATGGGGCCCACTAGGAGGTGTCAGTCGACTTACTCGAGACCGAGGGACACGCCACCGACTGAGGACACGGAGGCGGAGACATCAGAGAGGCAGAGGAGGTCGAGGGGCAGGCCTAGGCGGGAGTCGTCGACTGACCACGACCTTGGCTCCTCGCGCACTTCTAGGGACGACGACGTCCCTCGGCCCACGGTGGGCGAGGATGCGGGTCCGCAGATGTACGATGCCGCCATTCCGCACGCGTGTGAGGAGGAGGTTCCGCACATGTCCGAGGAGGGGGGAGGGGGTTCGACTTCCTCGTCAGCCTCGAAACCCTACTTGCGAGGTCCCAGCCAGCTTCCGAAGCGACCGATTGCACCCGAACGCCGCCCACTGATTGTACCCGAGGGGGATAAGTAAGTAACTTCATATGTTCTTCATTTGATATGTTGAAAAATCATAATAAGAGCTAATGTCAATGGGATCACTTGTGCAGGAACTAGATGCTTGTGGAGGAGGGGGTCCCAGCTCGCAATGTCAATGGGATCCTAGGACTTCTGTGTAGGGAACACTTCCCTGGCCTGGTGTGGACGTCAGAGGATGAGGACCTAGAGGTACCCTCATTCGACCAGTACGCCCTCGTCGCCACCGATGCTCCGCACAGAAACTTGGCGGATCGGGTGATTTCGGAGTTGTGGGTAAGCCTCAATTCGTTGCATTCATTGGACATTCTTCAAATAAAATAATGGATACCTCGTGTCTTTATGCAGGACTTCTTTAGATGCCAGCCGGGCCAGGAGGCAAGGGCGTATCAGGTGGCTTACGCTTCCTGTAAAAGGCATGTCTCAGACTTGTATTACGAGGCACGCCTCCAGGCGCACGTTGACTACAACGCCACCTACCGTAAGAGAAGAATCAACAAAACACAGGCGAGGAGACAGACAGAGATTCTGACAAGGGAGCAATACCTATAGGTAAATAGAAAACATCTCCTGTTGATTTATTTTGAGATTAACTACGCCTAATTTGATCTTCTGATGGCTTGTAGGCGATTCCAAGCTGGTGCGCCACCTACCCCGATTGCTGGGCTGCTATAGTGGACAAATGGCTGGACGCGGACTGGCAGAAGGAGCACCAGGAGAAAAGCGACCAGCGAGCGCTGATGCCAGGTGCCCCTCACCATCAGGGCAGCGCCAGCCACAGCAAGTATGCAGAGACATATGTAAGTCTGCACCATTTGTCTAATCTAGCCGTGCTCAATTCTGCATGATTTCTGACCACATGTTGTTGTCTTTCTCGCAGTCGGCGGCGCACGGTGGCCACCCAATTGGCCAACTCACGGCATATGCTCTAGCCCACATGGGCCTAGCAAGGTCCAACATCGAGTACAACCCTGATGTGGGCCCAGAGGCGTACACCAACTCCAGCGTCCACACCCGCCTCACTTCTTACACGGAGGCGGCAAGGTCAGTCCATGGGCCGGCCTACGATCCGAGGACCGAGGAGCGCCTTGATCCTAAGATCGTGATGCGGGTGGGGGAAGGCAAGAAGCATGGGCGGTTCTGGCTTGGCGACGGCGTCCTCAACACGGGCTCTACTCGTCCTCTGAACCGCCTCCGAGCAGCGAGCACGAGCTCTAGCGTGCCCATAAGCCAACGGCCGACAACGGTGGCGGCACTCCAGGTAAATATTCCAGTTTCATTCATCGTTCTTTGACTTTTACGTTCCTTAGCTCTGCAATATTGAAACATTGGGGTCAAATGTTGCAGGCCGAGCTGCAGCAACTTCGGGCCCAGCAGGAGGCTAAGGAAGCTGAGCGGGCGGCTAAGCGGGCCGAGTGGGAGGCCGAGCGTTAGAGGCTACAAGCTGTTGAGGCCCAGCAAGAAGGTTTGCTCAGGTTCGTGCAACAACTTGAGGAGCAACAAGGTTGGCAGATCCCACTACACCTGCTTGCACCACAGCCACCACCACAGTCTGCTCTGGTGAGTATGTTTTACTTTCTATGCTCATGCATAGTGTCAAACCTAGAGATGGCCTTCGTGCCGGATTTGTTGATGTGTGGGCCTTCGTGTCGGGTTAGTTGATGTGTCGGCCTTCGTGCCAGAAATGTGGTTGTCGGCCTTCGTGCCGACGTTTTTCTTGCAGGTTTTGGAAACGTCCCCGTGTAGGGGAGGTGATGCCGAAATTTTCAACTTTGCTTTAAACTCCTTACATTTTTATCTTGTCACTCACGTGCAATATCTTCTTTTTTGTGCAGCGGACATCGGGGGCGGCGTCGAACCAGGTCGGAGGGTCGCCGACATCGCAAGTCGGGCCATCCGCACCCGGACCGTCGCCGGGATCGCACGCTGGGGCGCAGTCGCCGTGAGTCGCTTGCGGAGTAGTTTCTATGTATCGAACTTGTGAACTTGTAGACCATGAACTTGTGGTTTGTAATAAATTGTGGATTTCGGACAAATTTGGTCGTTTGTAATATATAAATGTGGTTTGTAATTTATTGCTATTGAATTGTGGTTTCTATTATATATATATGCATTGTTGTTTAAATGGAAAAGCAAAAAACAATAAAAAAGAAATTTAGAGGTGGCTTTGCCGAGTGCAATGACTATTGCACTCGGCAAAGAAAATTTTTAAAAAATAAAAAACACGCTTTCCGAGTGCAATGGTTATTGCACTCGGCAAAGAAAATTTATAAAATAAAAAATAAAAAAACACCCTTTGCCGAGTGCCGGTGCTGTGGCACTCGGCAAAGAGGTTTAAAAAAACAGATTTCTTTGCCGAGTGCCGGAGCTGTGGCACTCAGCAAAGAGTTTTTTTAAAAAAAAAAATAGACTGCGTCAAATCTTTGCTGAGTGCCCGCACGGCACTCGGCAAAGCCTTTGCCGAATGTCCGAAATTTGGCACTCGGCAAAGTAGCCTTTACCGAAAGGGGATTCGACGGAGGCTCTTTGCCGAGTGTTGCACTCGGCAAAGGCTTTGCCGAGTGCAAAGCTGCCTTTGCCGAGTGCAACAGGCACTCGGCAAAGAGCCCGCCTCCCGTAGTGGACTGGGCTTCTTGAAAAGTCTACACATATACAGCTAGTGCAGTGCAGCAGCAGATAATATATATGTAGATATATATACGCAGCAGAAAGTGCTTAATGCCTTCATTTTCACCACACCAACCATACTTTAATCAACTCTCAGTCTCAGGTGAGTGATGACTGTAGGTCTGTTGTGAGTTGTGACTAGTAGTGAGAGCATGCAATGCAGCAGGTTTTAATCCTGAAGATACGAGTCCCCTTTTGGCATTTATTTATATCCTACTTAAATGCCTTCTTTTCCGGAAATAAATTGATGGTGGTATCGTATAGTTTGATGATGGAATTTATTTTCTTTGAAGGATGACAACATATATATGACGACTACCACTACTATTAGCATTTACAACTCATCAGTGTAGTCGTACTAGTAGAAGAAATGAAATGGTAGGTTTTAAGAGATTTGTAACATTGAAAAGCACAGATTCATGGAAAAGGAAACCCGGCCACGACTCATTAACAATGCACAGACAAGACGAAGCGTGAAAAAAACAGTCCTGGCGAAATCAAGCAGACAAGAACAAATACAGGCAGCTAGCTAATCACTGAATATGTTCGTAATTCGTATATGCACGGCGCCGAATTGATTTTATGTGTCACTGAATTATGTTCATTGATTTTATGTGAAACAAAATGGTAACTCCTGGCTCATATTAATTTTTTGTATGTAATAGTTAATACTCCAATCTTTGAAGCACCGTAAAGTTAAAGGCAGCCTTTGAGCACCCAATATTCACAGTGAGTCACAAACCATAAGAGATGTTCCTAAAAAATCCATGACTGTCATCAAATTCAGTTATTCACTGTTGGATGAATCAGTCATCTTATGTCGAGCTTCTGAATCCACATATAAATGTCATGCCAATGCCATGACATGAAAATAATATCTTGATGAGTGTTTAAAGTTGCATAGACAGAAGATCATCGTGCTAAAGTCAACATAAATATGACTATTGGCAGGCCAAACAGGGAATTATTTATGAACTACAAGCATCAATGCGAAAGCCATGCTTCAACAAACACATTAATCAGGGGGGAATCCAGATCCACAATTTTGTAAAGGTCGCAGTTCACTCATGATGCATATGTTTGAACTCCTATCAAGGACTGTAGCTGAAACAACTAGATTTTTTCAAATGACAGATGAAGTACTAATAGGAGCCAGATCGTACATCCCTGAAGAACTGATGAGTCCTCTCAGGTACAGATCAAGGATCTGAAGTCTGCAAACACCCCCTGTGGCCTCGATTAGAATACGGACAGATTTCAGGGTGAGAGACGTTTGCTGAACGTTCGAGCTCAACAAAGTTCAGCAAATTCGCTTCACAGTATAATTAGGCATAATTCAACACATATTTTTCCTCTGACTATGCCAGTAGGTTCCTTTCCAGTTCAACAGAATCATAAATAAAAGAAGCTAAGGATCCCAGCATCAATCCAACAGCGCCACAAATCAATCTTAATCTGACTACGAGAATCGTAATCCTGACTACTGACTACAAGATCACATCTCTATCAATCGGATTGGCACGCAATGCAACGCCATGAAGAAAACACCAAGTAGTACCCATGTAACAAGTGAGGAGAGCAGTGATCCACACCTGGTGGTGGTGGTGGTAGTAGGCGTGGTGGGATTGGGAACGGCGCCCGGAGAAGGCGAGGCGGCAGACGCCGCGGGCGAGCGCGCGGTCGTAGCTAGCGTGGCGGCTCAGGTCGGAGAGCGTCTCGTAGGCCTCCTGAACCTCGATGAAGCGGCTGGTGTTCTCCGGGTGGTACTTGAGCGCCAGCCGCCTGTAGGCGGCCCGGACCTCGTCGGGGCTCCCCTCCGCCGAGATCCCGACCAGGTCGTAGAACGTCCGCGATGCCGTATGCTCCTGCTCCTCCATGCGCACGCCGCGGATCCGGGGGAGGGGAGGGAGGGGGCGGCGAATCCGGGGGAGGGGCGCCGCTGGTGAGGGAGGGGAGGGGCGCCGCCGGTGAGGGAGGGGAGGGGTGGGGCAGCGGATCCGGGTGAGGGGCGCCGCCGGTGAGGGAGGGGAGGGCGGCGGATCCGGGTGAGGGGCGCCGCCGATGAGGGAGGGGAGGGAGGGGCTGGGGAAGAGAGGGAGGGGAGGGGCCAGCCACTGGCGGGAGGAGGGGAGGCGTCAGCCGCAGGAGGGAGAGGATGGGAGGGAGCGAGCTGGGAGGGAGGGGAGGGGGTGTGTGCGTCGTGAGGGAGGGGAGGGACGGGTGGGTTTTTGTTCTTCTTTTTTTTTCTTTTTCGAGTGTTGTTTTTTTCGACACTTGGCAAACCTTTCTTTTTGCCGAGTGTTTTTTGTTTGACAATCGGTAAACCCCCTATTTGCCGAGTGTTTTTTGTTTGACACTCGGCAAACCTCCTATTTTTTTTATTTTTTATTTATTTTTCTCTTTTCATGGGAGAGGAAAAATAGCAAGCTCAGAAAGTTTGAGCTCAATCTAATGTATAGAAAAAGTGTGAAGGTCAAACGATGATTGAACCGCCACTTCGCCTTCAAACATGTTCCGCTCTCTCTCGATACCACGATTCTTCCTTAGAGATGCTTCGGTTTCTAAGCAATGTACGTTACAACTTTTCCGAAATCTTCTCAATTTTTTACCATAGCCTCTACGTATCATATCATGATACAATGGCAAGTCCTATGTTTTTCAGACTTCGTTTGAATTTTTTATAATTACAAAACCAATAAGCTACATGTCGATTGTGGAGTGTTGGCACCCAGATGTTTCAAATTTCTTTTCATTTCTTCGATAAGGCCAAAAAATAGACTTGACACCATGAATATGATTTTTCTACCCATTTTATTCTATTATTTCATGCACTTATAGATCAAATTTGATGTAAATCAATTAAATTCCTAGAATGCATTTAATGAATTAAAACTAGCAAACAGATCAAAAAAAATGCTAAATTTTAACATGGATTATACTATGTTGTTTGTTGAGTACAAAAAAAAGTTTAAAGGTCAAATGAGAAAAAATAAATAAATTGTTTGCCGAGTGTTGCCCAACGGACACTCGACAAAAGGGCAATGGAGGGACACATGGCGCGATGTTTGCCGAGTGCCGTAATTTGCCGAGTGTTGTTTCCATATTTGCCGAGTGTCGGAGTTTGCCGAGTGTTTTTCAGTAGAATTGCCGAGTGTCAGAATGTTTGCCGAGTGTTTTTTATGAAGGCACTCGATAAATAGAGAGTTTGCCGAGTGTCAGAATCTTTGCCGAGTGTTTTTAGTTTGGCACTTGGCAAAGAGATGGTTTGCCGAGTGTCCAATAAAATACACTCAACAAAGATTATGACACTCGGCAAATCCTTCGAATCTGGTAGTGGTTCACACACAACTGTTAGCTAGCTATCACGCACTACTGCCAGGCACACCAAGTCAAAGTCTTTGGGTGCTACAGGTGCCCACACTACTGGATTCAGGTTCTTTGCCGAGTGCCTGAGGCACTCAGCAAAGGCCAGATTGCACTCGGCAAAGCCTTTGCCGAGTGCGACACTCGGCAAAGAACACACGGCAAAAAATTGATCGGCAAAGTCCTCTTTGCCTAGTGTCTTTTATCGGACACTCGGCAAAGGCTTTGTCGAGTGCCCCGGGGACACTCGGCAAAGAAAAGCAACCGTCACGGCGCCACTCCCGTTGACGGTCAATTTGCCGAGTGCCAACCCGGCAGGCACCCGACAAAGATTTTTTTATTTTTTGAAAAAAAAAATTCTTTGGCGAGTGCCAACCCTTCAGGCACTCGGCAAAGAGTTTTTCTTTTTTTTTTACAAAATTTCTTTGCCGAGTGCCAACCTTCAGGCACTCGGCAAAGATTTTTTTTAATTTCTTTGCCGAGTGCCCCCTGTCCGGCACTCGGCAAAGTTTGAATTTTTTTTAATTTCTTTGCTGAGTGCCCTCTGCCGGCACTCGGCAAAGTTTGAATTTTTTTAAAAAAATTCTTTGTCGAGTGCCCTTTGTCCGGCACTCGGCAAAGTTTGCATTTTTTTAAAAGAATTTCTTTGCCGAGTGCCCTCTGTCCGGCACTCGGCAAAGTTTGAATTTTTTTTTTAAATTTCTTTGCCGAGTGTCCTATGTCCGGCACTCGGCAAAGTTTGATTTTTTTTTAAAAAATTCTTTGCCGAGTGCCCTCTGTCTGGCACTCGGCAAAGTTTGAATTTTTTTTTAAATTTCTTTGCCGAGTGTCCTCTGTCCGGCACTCGGCAAAGTTTGAATTTTTTTTTTAATTTCTTTGCCGAGTGCCATGGTCACAGCACTCGGCAAAGCTGGGAAAATGGTTGTCTGGACACCAATTTTTCCAGCTTTGCCGAGTGCGGTGACCATTGCACTCGGCAAAGGGGTCCTTTGCCGAGTGCAACACTCGGCAAAGTGACCCAAAACTGTAATTTTTAATTTTTTTACATTCCATCATGACAAATAAATTCATACAAACATATATCACATATATATCTCATCCATCACATATATATCTCATCCATCCACACATCCATCCACACATATCACATCCATCACAATATATGTCACATTGTTAATAATAAGTGCTCAAGTCCATCCAAATAAATACACAAGTCCATCAAAGTCCACAAGTGCATCACAAGTATATCAACAAATGAAAAAAAATACAACATGCACTCATCTCGGCCAAGGCGACTGTGGTGAAGGCCTAGCTCCATTATTTGGAGGTACATGAGGTGGATTATTCGAACCACCATCAGATGGAGACTGCACAAAGGAGAAAAGATTACATGTGAGACAAGATTATTTGGATAGCTAATCTAGGAAGGTAGAGGCCATACAAGCAAAGCACAAGCGAAAGTAAAAAACTTTCATACTCACAGGAGTAGCTGTAGCTGCAGGACGCGGAGGCGGAGGTGGAACCAACAGCCTAGGTGGCAGAGAGAAGCCCACACGTTGCCCAAGTCCTTGTAGGAACTCCGTAATGTCCGTCAGCCTCTGCGCCTAGGCCTGTCGCTCGGCCTCCAGCTAGGCCGCCATCCTCTGCTGCCCGGCCTCCAGCTCCTGATGTTGCCTCATTTCTTGTTCTAGCCGGGCCTGCAATATTTCACTCCAATGTTTTAGTAATGCAAAGCTAATTAAGGTGTGTAAAGATCAATGTATGACAAGTAAAATAGGAATAACCTCGAGTGCGTCGACCCTGTGCTGTGCAGCGGTCGGCCATGTGCGAATGGCCAGGCTCTCGCTCATGCTCTGTGCTCGGATCTGGGAGAGAGAGGGAGTAGAGGCCGTGTCGATGACATCATCGCCAAGCCAGAACCGCCCATGCTTCTTGCCTTCCCCCGCCCTCATGATGGCTTCTCCATCGAAGTCCTACGTGCTCGGATCGTGGTCTGACCCATGGAGCGACCTCGCCACCTTAGTATACTCACTGATGCGGGAGTGGACGCTCGGGTTTGTGTATGCCTCGGGCAGGTCCTCCACGTTGAAGGAGACGTCGGACGTCGCCTTGCCCTTGTGGGCCATACACCATGCCTAGAAGTCCAAGCAAGCCTGGCCACTATGTGACGCCGACTGGGAGAAAGATAGCACAATGATTAGAAATCAGGCAGAACTGAGCGTCACAATAGATAAATGAATTCGCATACCCATGCTTGTTTGTATCCGGCGAGGCTGCGGCTGCCTTGATGGTGTGATGTACCTTGCATCTGCAAATGATGGTCCTGGGCATCCCTGTGCATCTTGAGGTACTCCTCCATGAACCACTTGTCCACCATCATCGCCCAACACTCGGGATACGCTTGGCACCACCAGGGAATCATCTACACGTCATCAAGTATTGGACATATAAGAAGATCAAATTAAACCAACTTAATCTCAAAACGAATCAATATTGATGTTCTTCATTTACCTCAAGGTACTGCTCCTGGGTCAGCTGCATCTCTCTTGCGTCTTTCTTGGTTTTCCTCTCTCCAAGCTTCGACCCGTAGTAGGTTACGATGGTCTGGATGCGCACCTCGTGATGCATGTCGGAGACGAGTTTTTTACAGGCTTTGGTAGTCACCAGATCCGCCCTGGCCTCAAATCCCTCCTCGCATATGTAATAAGTCTACATACAAAAGCGATGTATTCATTCATTATTTCAAGAAAAGTCCAATGAATGCGACGTATTGAGCAATGTTGTGCGAGGGAGACTTACCCAAAGCTCTGCCTTCACCCGCGCCGCCTTGTTGGGGTACTCCACATCGGTGGCGACGGTGTAGTGGTCAAACGAGTAGGCTGGCTCCATCTTCGATGCATATGTGACAATGCCGGGGAAGTGTTGCCTGCACAGAAGACCCAAGATGCCGTTGACTAGCCGTGCGTTACCACCCGACACAACCACCCAATTCCTTCACAAGTGATTAAGAAAAATTATTAGTTTTTTTCATCATATCATATGATGTAGTGGTGATAACATATAAAGTTACTTACTTTTGCCCTTTGGGGCGAATCACTGGGCGTTGGTGAGGAAGCGGAACATGTGGAAGGCTCACGGGACCTCACAAGTAGACACTAGAAGAGGAGTCGGAGGAAGCGGAACCCATGCCTGCCGCCTCCAACTTGTCGTCCTCGTGTGGCCCCTCCTCGTCCGTCTGCCGAACCAGCTCATCGTCCGACTCGTCCACGGGCCCCACCTCCTCCTCCGGCTCCTCCTCAAGCAGCGTGGGAGGAGACGGCCCCCTCCTACGTCTGGCAGTCCTCCTCCTCCTGTCCGATCCCTTTGCCGCCCCCTCTGCCTCCTCCTGCAGCCGGCGTGGTCTTTGGTATATCGAGTTCATGGACCTATGACGGTCACCCGCCATCTTTGTTCAATCACCTGCAACAAAAAAGAAAAACAAGACGTAATTAGAAATAGGTGAAAAAATGAACAA